TAAAAAATTTCCACAAATTTTATATAAATAATGAAAGATTTTTATTAAACAAAAAATTATTTAATACTCAAACTTTTGGTTACATTTGCTCTCGTAATTTTTCTTAATTTTTTTAAAATTTCTATGCCACATGTGCCAATATTTTTTTATGTACATACAAAGAATCAGTTTCCAAGATCATTGCTAAATGTTGCAAAATCTCGAGTTAATAATAAAAAGCAAACAACACTGTAAACAACAATGTGTGTGTGTGTGCATATAAAATTAGAAATAAAAACTGAACTCGAGAACAGCTAGCTATTGTTCCATTTTAAAAGCACAAGCTGGTGAGAGTAACAGTGACAACAGTAACTATGTGTGTTTATCATTTTGTCAAACTAGGCTTCATCTATTCCAAAAGTCCTATAGCTAATAGTTGAACAAAAAACTTGAGCATAAAATGCTTGAAAATGATATCCTTTAATTACCTCTTTATGTTTTTTTCTCGACTAATAGCCCCCAATTACAATACTTCAATCATTTATATCCCCTAAATCATCAATAACCTTATGCTTCAATCTTCTACGCAATGAACAAACCAAAAAGAGAACCAAAAAAAAAAAAACAAAAGAGAAATGTGCAACCAAAAGCCACAACATAAATGATAATAATTGATAATATAAGTAACCATGCCTCACAAGAATTTCAATCGATAATATTACCTCTGAACAATGCAAAATAACTACCACCCATCATCTTCCCCTCCAATTCAACACTTATTTATTATTTAAATTTCACATCCATTGACCTCGGGATTTGAGGTTCTCGTTGCCTTCTCTATTGTCCCATCTAGGGCCCAAAATCTCAGTTCTTCATTTCAGTTGGTGGTCAAAGCAATTTAATATAATTCCTCTATATCAACGGCTAAGATTTCTAGGCTCTTCTTTTGTTCTCGTATTCTCCACCTCACTTGTTAGTTTGGGTGTTAAAATATCAAATGGGATTGCAAGAAAAAAATGAATTATCCAGAAAGTAGTCGAGATAATCAAGTTCACCATATGGCAAAATTTTCAATTGACTATAAAAGAAAAGTGGCTTTACCAGGCAGGCAAGCAATCTATGTGATTTTGCAACCCATTTCTTCAATATATTTGCAAAGATCCAAAAAAAATTGATAAGAGAATATCGACACCGAGGCAAGGGGATGATCTACCATACATATGTAAAAACACGTTTTCTGTTTTCATCTATACAAGAGATAAAATCACCAAAATATATCAAAAGTGTTTGTTTTTTTAAATTTTTGAGAACAAAATGATGTTTTTCAACAATTTATGATTGTTCCTAATCTACAATCTTATGAATTTTAGTTGGACTCTTTTAGACCTTTTATATTGTAAAATTATTTATATGTTGACAGCATTGCGTACATTTCTTCTGATGCAATTTGAATAAGATATCCTATCTTTGTTTGCTGAACATATTTATCCTAGCCTATAAATAGAAAAAAAAATACGCCCAACAACCGCTTTTATTGTAGATGAACATATATTTGTCAGTTATCGAAAGATGTAAAACACATATCAAACTTCTCCTAGCCTTATGTATACTAGAAAATATCTTGATTCATCAAATACTGGAGTGAAATATCATTGAATGGAACAGTTAATCTAAGGTTGGAAAATGAGAGCCTGTGAGTGACTTGCTTCATTGTTGGTTGAGATTTTGGTGAGGAATGCAAGCATGCTAGTGCTATTGTGACACAAAGAATCACATCTTGCGCATCTCTTTGTAACGGAAGTGGGAGACGTGAGTCTGTGACATCTCTTAAGAAATTGCTTTGATTAGAGATCTCTGTCAAAGATAGTATTAAATTTCCAGGATGCCTTCCAATTATTGTTTCTAATGCCATCATTCCAAAACTATAAATGTCATATTTTTCTGTCACAACTAAAGTGTATGCAAGTTCTGCAATCAATAAACCAAAAATTAATTATATAGAACATGACACAAGACAATAAGAGGATAGTAGAGCCAAAAAAAAAAACTAACCTTGAGCAATATAACCATAAGTACCTATTGGAAGAGTTTTATTGGATGAATTGGGATCAAGAATTTTAGCTATGCCAAAGTCAGAGACAAAAGCTTCTATCTTTGAGTTTAACAATACATTACTACTTGTTATGTCTCGATGGATAATTGGAGGTGTGCAATCATGATGCATGTAGAATAAGGCATTTGCTATTCTTTTAATGGCATTCACCCTCTTGGTCCAATCCAACTCTTCAGCTTCATCTTCTTTACTCAATAGATAAAAGAGGCTTCCTCTTTCCATATATTCATAGATGAGAAACATGCATTGATTGTGCAAGCAAAATCCATGCAATTTTACAATGTCACGATGTCGGATTTCAGTCATCAATTTTAATTCATTATGAAAACTTCTAGCAAAATATGGATTTTCATATTCTTTTTTATGAAGCTTTTCAATGCTACAATTTTTCCACTATAAAGTTGTGCCCTATAAACACTTCCATAAGCACCAATTCCAATACAATATCTGATGTCAAAGTCTTCTGTTGCTTCAATGATATCTTCATATGCAATTTTACCATCAAAATTCCATATGAAAAATAAATCTCCATTCTTTGGTGCTCTTATCTCAGCTTTTGTTTTCTTGTTTTTCTCCAAAGACTGAAAAAGGAAGAATCCAAAAGTAAAGAGAATGACAAGAAAAACTATCATAGGAAGAATGATCTTCATGTGATAATGCATCTTTATATGATTAGAGAAATAATGATTCTTCTCCAGACCAAGTAATAACTCTTTGTTACCATTCAATATGTCATGAGGAAATTTATAATATACTTCCCTTGGGACATGGCCATTAAGGGAATTGTATGACAAGTTGATGAATTCTAGCTAACCAAGCTCTTTTGGTATGTTACCAGTGAGGTTATTGTAGCTCAAATCTATGCGTGGCATATGTTGATATGTGCAAAAGCTCGGTGGTATCTCACCACTAATCATGTTGTGACTGAAGTTGGCAACCAAAAGTTTCAAAGATTGCAAGTTTGGTAAACTTGCAATAAGCTTGTTTTGTGAGAGAGATCTAGATTTTCAAGATATAAGAGATCTCTGATTTCTCAAGGAATGATTCCATATATCTTGTTTTTTGATATATTGAAAGATCTCAAATATTTGATACCTTTAATCACAGGAATAAGGCCAAAAAGTTTGTTGGAACTCAAGCTTAAAGCTTCCAAACTTGTTATTTTCCCAATATCTTAAGGTATGAGAACAAAGAATTGATTGTGGGAAAAATCAAGAATATCTAGTTTTTCCAAATTTGAAATTGAAGAAGGTATCTCTCCAATGAACATATTTGAAGACAAGTTCAAATATCTAAGACTGGTTATAAAACCCAAACTTGGAGGAATGGCTCCACCAAACTTGTTTCCACTCAAGTCCAATCGTTGTAAATGAGTAAGGTTATTGGTAAGCGCAGAAGGCATGCCTCCAATAAGTTTATTATTCTCCAAGTATAGATGAGTGAGATTTTGAAGAGCAAATATCTCAAGCGTAATGTTTCTTGTATATAATTTGAATCACGTACAAATTAAATCAAAATTAAGGGCAAAGTAGTGGGACCAAAAATATTATTGGAACTCAAATCAAAGTGACTAAATAAAATAGTGCATCTCACTTTTAAAAGCACTTGACAATACAAATATATGTACTTGAGATCACTACTAAAATACAAGTTTGAAGATCTTGTAATCTCGTGAAAGATAAAGTTTAAGAGGGGGTTTCATGTGCAAAAAAATTTAAGGACAAATATATGTATTTTAGATTGCTTATAAAATCCAAAGTTTAAAGAAAACTTAATTCATCGAAACCTTGTTTCCTCTCAAATCTAACAATTCTAAATGAAGGTTAATTAACAAGTATGAAAGGTAACTGACTGATGAGATTGTTACTAGACAAGCCTAGATAGATGAGGTTGTGGAGACTTCCAATCTGAGCTGGAATGGTAACTACAATTTCAATTGCAGAATAAACTATATCATAATTTAAAAATATTGTGTTCAAATTAATAAAATTTAAGGAAAAATAAGCATAAATCATATTGAATAGTTTATTTTTTAAAGTATTTCCATATTTTATTAAGTTGTTTTTGTACACAAAAAAGATATTAACTCCAACCACTTAGGGTTATTCACCTTAAAGGCAAAGTACATTAGAAGCATAAATATATAGGAGCTCATATTCAATTGAATTTGTTAGTTATAAAACTAATATTTTATTTAAGGACCATCAAGCTCTTAAAATTTTGTGAAATTGAAGAGGGCATCTCATGTTTAAAATTTTGTAATCTCATGAAAAACAATGGTCACTATCATAGTATTTTACATTTTATTATTGTAACTCTTTCTTTCTTTTTCAAAGTTTCCTCGAAGTAGGTAAAGTACCAAGTGACCATGGCCAAAAATTCTCCATATGATCATTGGGAGATAGCAGAGAGGACTTATATGTTGATGACCGCCTTGCATCTTCCGGAACCATGTGTCAGTGTGTATGGTGTATGCCATGACATCACTTTTCCCCTTAAAATCACAAACACTTCTTTTCTATTTTCAAAATCTATACTTTAATCTAATTTATAAATATATTATAATGACCTATGAATTTTATATAAAATTTAAAATATATATATATATATATATATAAGTTTATGTTTTAATAGTACTTATATTAATTCTTAGGATAAGTTTGACAAGAACAGAAGTTAGTGTAGTGGAAACCATCTAGATAGTTCATTAAAAAGGTCCCAGGTTCAAATCTGATCAGCCTTTAAGGAGTATTATTTTTATTTTTATACTTTATGAAATTACAAATCTGCCCTCATCTTTATCAGACTTTTTTTTTCTTTTTTCCTGGCCTTCTTCAAACATTCTGGGAGAGTAGAGAGAGAGTTAGAAAGCTGATGCCAAACCCTTGCTCTATCTCTCGTCACTTCTACCTCTTACCTTCTCAATCACTGGTCATGCGCTGTTCGTGTGCGTCGCTGTTGCCGTTATCGGTGTGCCTATCACTAGTTCTTCCTCCACGGCTGTGAGTTCTTCCTCTGTTTTACCGTCGCTCATCCTCCTCTATCACTACCTCAAGTATGTTTGACTTCTCTTCCTTTCTTCTTGCTGTTTCGTGTGTGTGTAATTGATTGGGTGAGCTAAGATTTCTTTCTTCCTCTTACTCGTCCTGTCATATTGTTTATTTTTCTTGATTCATGGTGGCAGTCCTTCCTCCCTATTGTTCCATACTTGAAGCTATCTCCTTCTTTCTCTACTGGTGCGTGTGGTTCCTTTAAGTTAGAAACCTGATCTTATCTCATTTCCTTGGAAGATTTCTGTACGTGTGAATGGATGAAGAGATAATGTTGACGCTAGAAAAAAAATTGTCTTGTATGCTGCGGTCGGTGCCTGAATTTTCTTTCTTAATTTCAATTAGCTTTCTTCTTTTTTCTCTTCTTTATGGTTGTTGACTCATGTCTAAAATTTTACACCTTCATCTTGATAATTTTTTGTGTGGGCATTTTTAATGGTTGAAGCTATAGAATTTTGGTGTGTTTGGCTGTTGCTTGTGTGTCTCAGAGAATAACAAATTCCAATGTTGAGCTGAAAATCCATCTTAAAGCTTGATACTAATCTTCATATGGTCATAATTTTTGGAAGAAATTAACTTGATTGGAATGATTGATGTTGAATAATTTGGTAAAATGAAGTTGGAAGAGAAGAGGTTAGATATGATAATGAGAGATTAGTGTCTATAAGATGCTTATTAAAATCCTTGTCAGAAGAATTGAATTTGACTTTAAAATTTCATAAATTCTTGTGGGAAGTAGAGTGAGCTTAGAAGTTAATAATTTATAAATTTAATTTGAAAGTGTAAAGGACATTTGACTATAAAATTAATAATATATGATTATTGGAATTCTTGGAGACCGATACTTTGTTGAGAAAATATTTAAACATTAGAGTTGTTATGAGGAGATTGGGAAGGATACATATTTGGTGCCTTGACAAAATGTTGATGAGAAATATATTTTTATATATAACTTTAGTTTAAATTTTCAAATTTATTATAGTTGATTAGTGGTGGAAATGTTAAAAAGAAATTATTGTACTAGTTAAGGGTTGAATAGAATTTTAATATGATTTATAGGATATTTGGAAGAGGAGAAATTTGATCAACAGTGAGAGGTGAATTTTAGTTCTGGGAATTTCAAGTAAGTGGATACTGTCCCAACTTATTGTCTAATAAAATTTTTTGTTAATAAAATATTACAATTTTATGCAAATTATTTTTACAACAACAATGTGAATATTGGATAATTTGTTGATCAAACTTCTTTATTTTATGAAATTACCTTTATCACTTTTGAAATGTTAATTATTCAATAAATACAAATTTAGACTTTGATTGTGGGATTTCATTCTAAAATTTTTATTGTTGCTATGGAAAAATGATTCATGCAAGTTTCACTACTGGAAAAAACCATATTTGGCCATCACTAATAGCCAAAATCCGTCACCAATACAGTGATTAGTGACGGAGATATCGGTCACTAAGGTTGTCGCTAATATAGCGTCACTAATTTTTAAGTGACGGATAGTCATCCGTCACTAATTAGTGACAGATTAATCGATCACTAAATTAATCATATCCGTCACTAATATTTCTTAATAGTGACGGGCATATCCATCACTAAAATAAAATGTCCGTCACAAATATGTATTTATAGTGACCAAACTGGACGTCACTAAAGTTGATATATCCATCACTAATCAGTAACCAACATAGTCCGTCACTGATTAGTGACACATATAGTTCGTCACTAATCAGTGAAGACACAAGTCGTCACTAATTTGTCACTGATTCAGTATTTTCCTATATATATACATGCACAGTATTTTCTCATTCATTATTAACAAAATTACCTATTAAAATAAAAATATTAGCAACAATCAAATATAAAAAAAGCTTTTGATATTAGATTAATATTAATATTGAAAGTCTCTCAAAACAGTCACAAGTTAAAGTAGAGACTAATCAAAAAAAGTGTCTTACAAGTACAAAATAAAGCATTTAGTTGAATAAGAACAAAGATCAATTATCTTTGTTTGCAGCTGAGGTGGATCCTCTAGATGGATCAACATTTTGTGGAGTCTCCAAACAAGGATGAGACAATCCATGACTAGCTATTAGTTGCTGTACAACCACTTGCAATTCATGCAATTCCTTTTCAAGTGCTTCCCTTTTCTTTACCTCTTCTTGTATTTTAAGTTCCATTTGTTGTATGTAGTCCTGACTAGGGGGAGGTGCATGGCTTGAAGCTTGTGAAGATGCAACATAAATGTTAGTAGCCTCTGATCCAAGACTATATATTCTTCCTTTTTTGGGACCACCAACAACTTTTGTCCAAATTGACATCTCTTGCTCATTGCTCAAATTCTCCAAGGCATGGCTGTCAATAGCTCCAACATCTGACATATCATCTAGAGACTCTTTCATCTCACTTTGAAACTTATCCTAAAAATAAAATACTCTTAATGATATATTAACAAAATTCAGACATTTATTAACAAAGCACATAAAAAAATCTTGAAAATAAACTTGAGCTCATAGAAAGGAATTACATTTCTAGATCAGACCAAACAAGACCACAAATCCTCCGTTAAACTAAGCAACACAAATTGAAGCAATATATATTTGTGGAGTTGGTTAGTTGAATTTAGAGTTGACATGTTTGAAATTTTCTAATACAATACTCTTACCCATATTGCTTTTGATTTCTTGTCAACAAAGGCTTCAGAATTTGATTTCTTGTGAGTCATCAAGAACACTTGAGATGGACGAGCTTCACCCCCTGTCTCTTCCTCCTACATACATGCAAATATGTCAAACAAGTAATTTAATTGTAAAATTTGTAAGGAACTTAGTAGAATTAATACATATTTTCTCTTATGCTCTGAAGATGTTATTGATCCTCCAGAGTGGCATGATGGGCCAAGTCCATCCTTACTGCTCAACCTATTCTTTGAATTAGTCTCAGATTTCTTTATAAAGGACATTTGCTGAAGTTCCTTCCAGTTATCTTCACTCATCCAAGTAGGTGATATTCCCTTTTCCTTGAATGTCTTCCTTGCATTATAAAGGACAGTTTTCAAGAAACCTCGACCAATAGACTTCTCATAAAGTCCATGTATCTCATTATCAAACCTGTCCTCCCAAATATATACTTTCTAAGATACAAAGACAAAATTGAACAAATTAGGATAAACTTGAATAACCAAGATTTTCAACTAAATAGTAATTTGCATTACTTTGAAAAGAACTTAAATAATAATAATAATAATGTTTACCTTGAACTCTCCAAACCAACGTTGCTTAACCTCAAATGGTGTTTTATCCCAAGTAATCCATGGTCCTCCAAAAAACTTCTTTATTATACATGACAATATACGCACAGCATTATGAGGATGATACCTATGATGAACAAAATTTAGATTTAATATCAAAATAATAAAGAAACAGATACTAGAAAAACTTATCAATTTTATTTATATGATGTATTATTTGGTTCTAAGTATATGCGCCCATCTGCAAACTTTCGATATGAGACTTTATTTTTTTGTCTATTTGACTCGATTTGTTGAGTCTCATTGGAAGTGGATATATCATTTTCAATATGTGTCTCATTTTCAGTATTAGCCTCTTGTTGAATTGCATGATCAGTTGGTGGTTCCTCAATGGATGCTTCCTTCATAGGTGCATGTTGTACAATGGGTTCTTGCTTGTGGATGCATTCTCTATAGGTGCTTGCTCTATGTCAGTACCACCTCTAACATTTTGCTGATGAATGCTTACACTTCTTGATACTCCAAATGATCTATGTTTTGCTTTACCCCTTGGCATCCCTGTAACATTTATAGATAGAAAAATTTCAAAATGAAGAAAAATAATACTAATAAGCAAGTTAAAATTATAATAAAAATAATTTAGTAAAAATGTCATAATGATCAAATGCAATAAAATAATGCTAACATTTACAAACCTAAGCTTCATCTTCCTCTTCAGTATTTGATTCATCACTTTCAATACTATCACTCTCACTAAGTTCATCTTCCTCTTCAGTTTGAAATTCCTCATTTTCAAGCTCATCTTCCTCATCTAACTTTTCTAGTTCATCAACATCATTTGTTTCATACTGTAATCTCACCTCATTTTCTTGTATTTCAAGTTCTTCAGCTACCCCTTCACAAAGATTATTAATTGCATCCATGCTTGTGTCATATGGCAATCCCATATCATCTTCTTGGAAGGCTACTTCTGGTGCATTTATCATACTCCTTGCTTTTATTTTACAAACAGCCCACCAATCAGCCCTATCCCTCTTCTTACTAGCATATTCTCCAAAATAAACTTGTTGAGCTTGTTGAGCAAGTGCAAATGGTTCATACTTTGAAAATCGTTTTCTCTTATTGATCTCAACTAGGCCATAACGACTATGAACCTTGCACCCCCTATTTAATTGGGGATCAAACTAATCACACTTAAACAATACCGCTCTAGTTTTCTTAGAGGTTGGATTAGAATATTGCAATTCTATCACTTCTTCCAACAAACCATAATAGTCATATTCAAACTCATTATAATTTGTTCCCTTAATGCACAATCCACAGTTCATGGTAGATTTTGATGAGTTGTAAGCACGTGTGTGAAACTGATATCCATTGACAAAATATTGAGACCATGTATGTACTTCTCTAGATGGCCCAAAAGCTAGATCCTTTATACGAACATCATCTACATTGTTATTTGGGTCAAAAACCTAAGCATAATAAAACTTGTCAATAAGCATATCACACAAACTAAAAGGGCATGTATTAAAATATATATGTTCATGATACTTACATATTCTTTCAACCACTTTGCAAATTCACTATCTATCTTAGTCTCTATATCCTCATTGGTTGCATTAGGTATTCTTTTCCTAAGTTGTTCTTCAAATATTCTACAAGATGGCAATGATTACCAACATTAGTAAAGCAAATTGTCATTTAAAAAATGCATAAATATCTTAAAGTGATTGAATTTACCTAAGAAATGGTTGGATTTCCTCACAATTAAGCAGAACATATATAGAAGCTGCATTAAATTCATCATTTGTCAAAAATCAGTGTTTTTCCTTTTCCTGCTGTGCGACCAGGATGTCTGAATATAGAAAGGCATCCATCTGGGCAGTCAACCTCACTATGATCATCATTTCGATCAATTTTGTTTAGTTTTGTTTGAACATGAGGTTCAAAGTAATGAGCACAGAATGTAGATGTTTCTTCTACAAGGTATGCTTCAGAAATTGACCCTTCTACGTGAGCTTTATTTTTAACTTTTTTCTTCAAATGATGCAAAAACCTACATAATAATTTTTCTATTAAGTATTCATTTATATAATAAGTAAATTTAATCACAAAATATATTTTATAATTTACCTTTCAAATGGATACATCCATCGATACTGAACGGGTCCACCAACTCTTGCTTCATAAGGTAAGTGAATAGGCAAATGTTCCATGGAGTCAAAGAAGGCTAGAGGAAAGAACTTTTCTAACTTGCAAATAGTTACAACAATATTTTCTTCAAGCTTTTGCATTTGCTCCACTATTATAATTGTTGAGCATATGTCTTTAAAGAATAGACTTATTTCTGTTAAGGCATTCCAAATAGCCTCAGGTAATAAATCTTTAAAGGCAATTGGGAGCAATCTTTGTAAAAATACATGACAGTCATGACTTTTCATCCCTAACAATTTACAATTTTCCATGTCAACACATTTAGACAAATTTGAAGCATGTCCATCAGGAAGTCTTAAATTTTTAATCCATTCACATACCAACTTCCTTTGTTGCTTTGTCAAAGTGTATGTTGCTTTTGGCTTCATTGTCTTTCCAGCACTCTTAAACAATGCCAATTCTGGTCGGTTACAATAAGTAGACAAGTCCTCTCTAGCCTTTTCATTGTCCTTCGTCTTACCTTTAACATCCATAACAGTATTGAATATATTATCAAATACATTCTTCTCAATATGCATAACATCAAGATTATGGCGAATCAAGTTGGTATTCCAATAAGGCAAGTCCCAAAATATAGAACATTTAGTCCAATTATGTTGACTGCCAAACCCAGGCAACTTGTAAGTTCCATTTTTCTCCATCATTCTTGGCA